GGGGAGTGGGCAGCAGCGAAAGTGCTTTGCCCACTCGAACGATGGCATAGGCGTGCGTTATGGTGAGCTGAGTCGTCTGAGGTCCCGGGAGGATAGAGTACCATTAGGAGCACCCAGCAAGGCAGGCACCCAGCAGAGAGGACACCTTCAAGTGCCTGACTCCAGTCAGGAAAGAGCCACGCACATCTGCATGCTTTTCCCCTTGTCCTTTGTCCCTGTGTATTTGTTTCCAGACTTTACAGCCTTACCCCACCCCCTGGACTCCACCCTACCCCTCCTCTCTCTTGGAGTCCTGTCACGGGCCTTTGGGATAAAGCCACTGGAGAGCAGCTTTCCTGCCATAAGGTAAGACTTCCGAGTTCTCCAGAAGTTGGGAGGGACGGTGCGTGAACGGGGCAAGGAGAGTGCTGCTTCTGCCCAGTGCAAGGTGGTTAGAAGACTTTAAGGAACCTTTACCTGGGAGAAAGGCGGGGCCCTCTGCTCCCCGGAAGAGCTACGGTCTCGGAAACTCACAAAGGCAGTTCTACCCTGTCTTAAAGGGTCATTATAACTTAGCATCAGCTCGCTGGCCATGAGCTGGCGTGTTTGAGTTTTACATGGTGGGTTCTGTGTCGGGCTGTAACCACGAGACAGGCAGTGGAAGCCGCCAGCTGGTTGTTGGAAGAGGAGGCTTTTACCCCTGTAAAGAGTGACAGGCTCCGAAACCCACAGGGGCAGTTCTACCCTGCCCCATGGGATCATGATGAGTTAGAGTGGACTCTGTGGTAGTGAGTTTGGTTTGTTTTTTTAAATGGCTACTATTGTGGTCGGCACATCAATGGATGGTTTTCATAATCTGCACGGCTGTTGACAGAGTATCAGTGAATGCGTGAATGCTTCTAAGAGCCATAGAAATGATTTGTTGCATTGGTTGGGTTACATGTCTCTTCTGTAATCCAGCTTTCCGGAAACCCCATCTCTCTCTCAAGGTCAATCAATCAATTGCCCAGCTTAGCAGAGTTCTCTCCAAAACACGCCGGCCCTCACCCTTTCAAACCCACTCCTGGCCTCCCCTGGGTCAGGCCTTTCCGACCAGCTTCACAGACCCTGGCCCAATCCTTGCCAACCACCCTCCATGCAGGTGCTAGGGGCTCCTTTTAATGGAGCTCTTGTAGGCGGGAGCTGGCTTGGATTCCCGTCTCCACCGGTCCCGGGGCCCCAAGCAGGAACTAAGTGTGGACATAGGTTTATCGCATTAAGTAGGAAGGAGCCAACACGTATGGGTGACGTTCTCTGTGCTGAATGATTTAGGTAAGTTGGTAATGGCCCCAGTTGGTCTCAGGACTGTGTAGAGAATTCAGTGAGATCCTGCTTGTAAACTGTAGACCTCGATCAGGCCTGCAGGTCCGTCAAGTTAAATGAGATGATAATTATCATCACAACTACAACCACACTGAAAAATGGAATCAGTGGTAACCTCCATCTTGCATAATCATCGTTTTTAGACAATGAGGGGCATGGAGACTAAGTGACACTCCTGAGACCACCCAGCTGGTGATTTGAACTCAGGACCCCAAGCTCCAAAGCCGCCCTCCTTTCAGTTCACCTCCCCATCTATGACTCTTTACTCAGCCCCAGAGCCTAAAAGCTGAAGTTATTTGTTCTCTCTCTGTTCCATTCCCCCACCCCCTACTCCCTGGAACCCGATGTCACATTGGGTGGCTATGGGCACGGTCAACTCTCACACCCACTGAGGGGTTCCTTCCCAGGAAGTGTCGCAGGTGGGCTGGACCTTGGCCGGGGAGCAGGCAGTTCCTGGAAGAGGCGCATATGGCACATTCCCAACCGAGAGAACGTGTTCTTTATAGGAAGCCTGCCTCGGCCTCCCTGGGGCTCCCTACACCACTCCTGCTCAGCCCTCTTGGGTCTCCCTGAACAAAGATCTGAGGCCATTGTCGGCGCGCGCCTTTGGAATCTGGCCTTTGATGCTTGCTGAGGACCATAGCACTTGCAGGGCTGAGCTCCCTCCCCACCCACTCCAGCCCCCCAAAGTTCAGTGAGGGGCGGGGGATTAGACAGCAGATCCCATTTCCAGCAAGGCCCTGGCTGGCCCGTATCAAATGAACTGTGTTTATCTGTCAGCCGCTGCTGGCAGCAAGGGTGGGACACGGGCCCAGCTGGGTGCTGGTCCAAGCCAGCCTAACTCTCCAAGGGGTGAATGATGTCTTTCTTCCTCCTCCCTTCCCCCCACTAGGGAGGGGGCCACACGCCAACACTGCCTCAACCTTCGTTCTCAGCCCAGTGGCTGCAGAAACCCTGACCCACCTTCCTTGAGGCGGCCTTGTAGCCCCAGCCCCTCTGCCAATTGGCACCCCCACCCCTTCGGACTGAGAGGAGGTCTCAGCCAATGCCCAAACCAGGAGTTTCCCTCCCCCACCAATGGAGCTGGCAGAGGCCAAGAACGTGGGGGGCCTGGCAGACTGTCCGTCAGCCCAGGAGGCCTCCTGTCCACCACAATCCCCACCCACTCTGCCCTCTACGGTGGCATGGCCTGGAGCTCCCTCCCTGTTAGGGAGAGGAGTGCCCAAGACCAGGCCAACACCAGGCGGGCAGGAGGAACTGGCAAGCTGCAGGTCTCCTCAGTCCCTGCAGCCCTGGCACCAGCCCAGTCCCTGCTCATGGCCGCCGGAAGGACCCCCAGGCCCTGGGACTGAACGACCCAATGGTGGGACATTTCCTCCTCTCTGCGCCTCCGTTTCCCACTTTCCGAACAAGAGGGTTGGGCTCGGGTCTTCAGACTCCTTCTGCTGAGATGGTTTATGATGCTGTTGACTCAGAGGCGAAGACTCCCAAGCTCTAGGTTTCTAGGACACAGGAGTTGAGACTAGGTTTCTCGGGGCCAACCGTTCTTCAGAACACAAAGCTTCTGGGGTTCTAAGGTGTGATCGTCCCAAGGCCCCGTGGTGTTTGGATGGTGCATCTCTGGTGGTGTCTCCGCGTGATGACAGCGGTGGGCCTCATCTCAGGTGCTCAGGGGGCTCCAAGGTGAGTGAGGATGAGGAGGATTAAGGGGCCCACCAGGCGGGGACACGGAGCAGGAGGTGATGCTGCATCTCACGTCTTTCACCCTTCCCACATACTCATTTGGTTCCTCGGTGCCCCCAACTCCTGTCCGCCCGGGCCTGGGGCCTGCCTTACTTCCTTGCCGTTCCCCATCCTGGATCTCACCCCCTCAAGGTTCTCCCGCCCTCTGCCCATAGTTGGCTTCCCAGCTCAAGGACCCGGGGCGCCTTCTCTCAGGGGTCGTCCGTTGTTCACATCCACCTTGCTCCGATGTCTAATGCAGGAAAAAGACGGCAGGTGGGGGGGCATTTTTGTTTTGGAAGGACAATTGGCCCTTTCCGAGCCTTAGAGGGGTGGGGAGGGAAATGAAGGTGGAAGACTGCGTACCCCTCAAAACCCTCCATCAGTGAGCACGTGCGCCCAGTGGGGAAGCCCCTGGCTTTGGAGTCAGATAGTCAACGTCCAAATCATGACTTCGACTTTTGTTTGCGGTTTGAGTTTGGGCACATTCTTTAACCATTCCAGCTTTTAGTTCCTCCATCTGTAAGGAGCCCTGGTGGCGTAGCGGTTATGTGTTAGCTGTGATCCCCATGGTCGGCAGTTCAAAACCACTAGCAACTCCTTGGGAGAAAGACTGGCTGTTATACTCCTGTAAACAGATATTGTCTTGGAAACCCACAGGGGGTCGCTATGAGTCAGCACTGACTCAAAGGCAGTGAGTGAATAATAATCTCAACCTCTCAGGGTTATTGTGAAATTAAATCAGGGGATCTATGTTAATGCTGATTCCTATTACAAGTTTGATGAAGTAGTAGGTAAACACAGACAGATCTAGAAGCTGACTCCAGATTTCCCCAAGCACTCTATTCACCGTGGTTTCTCTTTGGCTCCCAGAATTCTATGTGGCAGTCCCCAGGTACCTACTAGGATGGACACCAAGCTGAGGGACGTGCAATGGCTCCATAGTCCCCACCACTGAGGTCAAAGCTCCCAAATGTCACCTTAGCAGTCCTGTTTCCTGTGACTCCTCCTCCTCCTCCTCCTCCTTTCTCTACCCTTCTTCCCCCGTAGCCAGGCCAATCTCCCTCAACACCACCTTGTGCCAACCAGGGTCTGACCTCAGGGCAGGGCTACAGAGATGCCAGTAGCTCAGTCGAGTCAGAGGGAGAATGGGTGGCGGCAGGAGCCAGAGGCATGAGATCAGACCGGAGAGAGAGAGTGCATGGGTCAGGAAGGGTCCTGTGAGCCTGGAGGGTGAGGAAAAGCTGCAACCTGGCGAGCTCTGTGGTTAGGTTCACATCTTAGAATCGTCATGGTGGCAGTAAGAATGAAAAATCAATTGGAGCATAAGGGTGGAGATAGAGAGGCCCAGGAGAGGCTGCAGTGACCTGCTTTGCGATAAGGACTACCAAGATGGAAGCAGCGCCCATGGGCAGACGTGTGCTACCTTGAGGAGCCCTTGGCAGGTAGAGTGGGAAGACTTTGCTTGGGGTGGACTAGAGCTGTCAAGTGGTAAACATCGCCATCACTAGTCATCATACTGGTACTTCCTGTTGCCGTTCACTGACTGAGCTCTTTATAGATCCAGTATACTCATCCTTGGATCTGGTATAGATTGAGTGAGACACGGTGCCCACCTTCAAGGAGTTCAGCCTAATGAAGACAGACAGATGGATATGATCAGTACAGGCTGACATGGGCTATGATAGTGTGAGAACAGGGTCTTAGGGGAAGGCTTCCTTGAGAAGATGCCTGAGCCGGGTCTTGAAGGCCTTGACAAGGGGACCAGGGAGGGGCAGAGCGGCTTGGGCAGCAAGAGCTGACCGCAAAGGCCAAG